ACACCCCCCCCCCCCCCCCGGTTGCACTGCTGGAAGTGCTCATATGGCATATATGTGACAAAATATGAAGGTATTTCAGATAGGGCATTGAACATTACACTAAGGTAGATGTTAAATCCTAAGTTTCCAACCCCAAATGGCATGCCATAGTAGACCAATCCAATGCCAGTTCCAAGTGTTATGACAGCCAATTTTCTTTTAAATGCGCATGTTTTCTCAAAAAGGGTCTTCATAGATGAGAATATAGTAGTAGTTTTGGGGTGATTTTTGTTTTCTTGCTCATGGGGCAAGCTTAGCAAGTACACGGTCAAGCTCTTGTCTTCCACTGCTGATCCAATTTGTTTTAGTACTGACATTGATTCGTCCTCACTGCTGTGCGTGAAGAGCCTTCTTGGGGACCCGGTGACAAAAAATTGAAGCAATGAGCCGTAAAAGATACCTGGAATTGATGTCCAAAGATACAGAACTCTCCAAGTAGAAAATCTATTAATGTATGCTATAAGTGGCAAGGACAAAAACCACAGGTAAAGAAAAAGAATCCGAGGATTCCTACTCTTCCTCTCCATTGTTCACCTACCTTTTCTGTTAGTAAAACAAGGGCACATGTCCCAATCGATGCGCGGATATAAATCTCAGGGCAGAGTAGGTCCAAATGTTGTTGGAGAAGCTGGTTATGAGTGCGGCAACAGACATGATCAGGCATGAGATCAAGAGCAGGTTCTTGCGGCCGAGCGATGAATCAGCAAGTGTGCCTAGGATAAGGCCACCTATAAGGCACCCGATGAAGAAAGATGAGGCAGGTAGGCCTGTAATGAATGAGCTAGCACATTCAAGGGACCATTCTGATATGGTGGTCTTTGAGGCAGGGCCATTCCAATGCCCAATCGGGGCAGGGAAGTGCACAAATGGAAGAGGTAGAGCTGCATGTAGTGGAATTGGTGGTGGAATGCCATGCAGGTTGGGCATCTGTGTAGACACTTATGAATGACTGTTGCCCATCACAAACCCAAGCCAATGACACCACAATGGATTGGGAGAGTTGTGCCCAGTTGAATGCCCCAAGACTCTGCTCAATCATTTTGTTCAGGGATGGGATATTTTTTGTGTTGGGACTTAGATTTTCTGGCTCCGATAAATTGGAAGGAGGTAGAGGAGATGTTGGATCATCCATGTGCTTGGTGCACATGGATGCTTGTAGAGAGACAGAATTCTTGGCAGCTATTGCCATGGGGTTTATTAGAATCTACCCTTGAAAGGTTTTATAAAGTAGAAACAATTTGACAACCAAGGAATTTGAATCTCCCCTTGATTCTCCAATTAATTTACCTTAACACTAATGTCAATCTGAGATTTCTTTCATTTTTTGTAATTGATTGATTCCTTGATTTTGCATCCTCTTTTGCTGTACTTCCTACAAGTAAACAGCTTGGGAACTCTTTATTATTTCAGAATAATGGGGAAAGCCAGTGATGTCCTCATTTTAAGGTTATTATTTAAGGATCATCTCTGTAATTTATACTTACTAATCACCCCCTTAGCTATCTTGTTTAAGTCAAGAACTTGCATCTCAGCAATTAAATCATATACGGATGACTACGATACATTTCATTCAATCTAATTTAAACCCAGGAACATTAACATTGCATAACAAACCACATAAATTGTCTACAACTACAAGGAAAACCAATATGTGTTCTTCCTTTATTTGATGGATCATTGAGTCTCTCTGTCATTATTCAATGAGAAAAGAAAAGCTTCATGGTCAATTGAGACATGAATGGGCCAAGGATTTCTCCTCAATGAGCTCTTGTGCAGTTGCATCCAGCTTTCCCCTCGAAAACTCATCAATCTTGAGCCCTGCATTGAAATAGGCAAAGTCCAACTTTAACTATTCAATTTTATTTGCCAGAACCATTACTAGGATTTGAAAGTGTTTCATAATCCTTAATGACAGTAATTTGTTGTTTCCAAAACATGATTTTGAGTTCAAAGCTCAGGTTTCAAATGGCTGAAGGAACTTAACAATGGGCACTGAGTTCAAACTTACCCTGCACAATTGACCACTGGATTCCATAAGAGCCATCAGAATACACACCCATGGAAACCCATGAACCCTGAATGACATTCAGATCAACAAAGAAAAATATTAAATTTGTATAGAATTATATCAAGAACGAAAAAAAAACAAAAACCATTAATTTTTCAAGAACAAAATACTGGTAAAGATGACAAGAAACCTTAGGAGTCCCGAGAACCCAATCACGTATATGATCACAAGCAGAACTTGCAGCAGACAGTGCACTTGATAGCTTCCTGGCCTTAATAATGGCTGCACCGCGCTGCTGCACGGTGGTGATGAACTCGGTATTCAACCTAGAGAATGATAAAATGGATGAAGAATTTGTGTAACTTAAAGATTTATACTAAATTTTACCTGTCAGAAATTTGAGATGTACCATTGATCATTAGCCACAAGTTCTCTGACAGGTTTCTCTCCACCGCTGGTGGTGACAGTTGCATGGTTGACATCAGGATACTGAGTTGAGGAGTGATTGCCCCAGATGATAACATTCTTCACATCACCGACGTGAACATTTAGCTTCTCAGAGATTTGTCCTAATGCCCTGTTGTGATCCAGTCTTGTAAGACATGTGATGTTTTTCTCCGGGATTGAAGGTGCAAATTCTTTCAAGATGAGCGCATTAGTGTTTGCTGGATTGGCAACCACCAGCACCTGAATGGTAGAAGAAATGAAACTGCATCAACTTAAGCATAGCAACATTTTGATGTAAAGAAAAACACAGCAACAATATCTCCAAATTTTCAGTATAAGGATTAGGGATGAACATAAAAGATAATAAAAAAGTAACGTCGTGCACACATTTCATATGGCTTCTCTCACCTTGACATCTGCAGCAGCATTCTTTTCTAATGCTGAAGCTTGAGCCTTGTAAATCGATACATTTTTCGACATCACATCCTTTCTTTCCATACCTTCCTTCCGTGGGAATCCACCAACCATAACAGCAATATTGACACCCTTACAAGCTTCCTGGACATCTGTTGTAGCAACAACACCTACAAACATGTACAAGGTAAACCCTAAGAATCCTCAAAAGGAGAAATATCAATCTACCATAAATTAGTATCCAAGATCAGGCTTAACAAGAATACCTCTGAGAAGAGGAAAGGCAGCATCAATCAATTCCATTTTCACCCCATTCAAGGACTCAGCTGCAGGTTCAATATCAAGCATGTGCAGAATTACAGGCTGATCTGGGCCAAGCATGGCCCCCCTAGCAATCATTGGAACAATAGCATAGCCTATTTGCCCTGTTGGATATAATCAAAATCCAATATTATATTACACATTAATTAAAAAGTCATATCAAAGAATCTAAGTTCACCACAGAATTACAGGAAGATGTAGTTCAAATGCAAAAAATGAGTCCTAATCATTATGGGACACTTAACATAAAAGCTTGTCCCTTTTCATTATTTTGTTAACTTGACAGACAAATGCTTAGATACTTGGCCCAATATTTTCAAATCACAAAATTGCATATCATGAGCTTATAAATTCAGGAAATATTCCAACATGGTTTTGTGGCAATGAGAAATACATGGCGTCTGAATTTTGCATCGGAACCGTTATAAGAAAATGAACTTGTAATTTTTTTTTATAAATTTTTTTAAAACAGGGGGGTGGGGGGGGAAGAAATAAAAGGATTGATTTGAGCATGCCTGCAGCACCAGTAACCAATACAGTCACAGGCTCCTTCTCCATGCTCAAGAAACTCCACATGTATTTTATAAGCTTCCAAAAGAAGGCAATAGTGAACAGAACAAGCAAGATTTTCTGAAAAAGAACAATATTCTCCATTTTCTCAAAAACAGACAGATGCAACAAACAATTCCTGCCAAAATCAAAACAATCCAGTCCTATGTTTTTATATAGGTGTAAGAGTACCGTGATTGAAACAAAGAATCTACAGGGCACTTCCAGAACAAGGCAATCAGATGCCAAAACAAAGTCCACAAGATACTTAAAAATACAGAACATATCAAATTATTCCAAAGAACAGAACCAAACCCTCTGTTTGGTCTCCTCCTAAACCAAGGAATACAAAAAATTAATAAAAATAACAATCTCAAATCCATGATTGTTGAAGAATTTTAGTGATCTCATAACAACAACAAACAAAAAAAACTTGAAACTCTTCTCTTCATCCACGTTTTCATTCAAGCCAGCCACACAGTGAAAATAATACTGGAAAGGAAGTAAATTTTGAAAGAATGACCATACCAGCAGCACCAGTGACAAGAACTCGAACTGGGTCTTTCGCCATTGCTGCGAAGTGTGGTTTTGGATAGAGAAAATGGGGTTTTAGGAATGATAACAATAGAGAAAAATGGCGATGAGACTTGTTGAAAACAGGGGTGGTTTAATAAGGATGGGAACTAATGAGAATGAGGTTGAGAAAGAGAAGGAGATGAGGATTTGGAAGATTCAGAGTGACGGAAATCGAGGGTAGAGATAAGCGTGATGATAGGAAGACTGCCAACTTCCATACTCACGCAGATAACAGAAATTGGCACCATGCAAACACTAAGAAACGTCCACTTGTAACCATTTCATCTCAACGACCATGTCATCTTGGTATTTTTTGCCCTACTTTTCAACAAATTACGTCTCATTTTACATATCACACTTTAAAATTTTGTAAATACATCTCTTATTTCATTATTAGTCGAGTTTGGATTGATTTGGTGAATCATTTTTTATCATTTAGTGAGCTAAGTTGAACTATGTGAAGGCTGAGACTAGTAACGAACAATATAATTGACTTAGCTAGCGGTATGGATTAGATAACACCAAGTTATTTTTCGGTGAATTGCAAATTATTCTCCACTCTAAATGGTGAGGCACGTCGTTCGAGTGGGCATCTTTATCAATAACAAATTAAGGCCTGTGTTTTTTTTGTTTTTTTTTCTTTTGCCCCAACTCCATGTGGATGAAAGTTCTTTGCAATTGATTATTAGATTCGTAATCAGGTTATGAGGAATTGAATTGAGGAGGAATTGGAATCCGATTTTCCATTAAAATTGTTTACTAAACTATGTGGAATTGGATTTAGAGTGAAAAGCCTATATCTTACCAGTAAGTTATAGAGTGAAAAGTTTGTATCCTTATTTTGTGTGGGCCTCGTTTACGTTTCGTTCCTCTATTTGTAGTAAATACAAGAATAATTCGTAATTGGAATTCAACTCCTTATTTTAATTCCCATCACGAATTAATAAACATGTCACCGAGAGTAATACAATTAATCTTGTTGAAGCATGGGATGCAATTTTATTCAACCAGTAATCCAACCCATAAAAGACAGAACACATGCCAATTGCCAACGCAACAAAATCAACCAACACATTACAAACGATCTAGTTTTATTATGATAATAAACTAAGCATGTGACAGAAAAAAAATTTGAGCTCTCATCCCAAAATCATCTTCTCTTTGCCTTCTTGTTCTTCCATGGTGTCACAAAGCGTTCCTCCCCTCGTGTCTGGCAAACAAGCCACAAAAAACCCAGAAAAAAATATAGCCAACCCAAAAACTCCATAAGAAAGAAACCCATTGTTGCTCCCTACAGAAACCAGTATTGAACTGAACACAGCACTCAGCACATAAGATTGCCTCAGCAGAGATGTAGCAGAATTTCTCACACAAGTTGGAAACAACTCAACTGTAAACATGGAGATCAAATTCCATGCTGTTCTTGAACAGAAGAAAGAAGCCAATTCCAGCCCAATTCTAATACCCTTTTGCCCATTTCCAACAATTGCACACAAAATGCCACATATCCCACTTACCAAGCAAAATGCAAGCACTGAATATTTCCTGCTCCATCTTTCTAAAATGATGCAAGTGATTGGATATGAAGGTATTTCTAGCAAAGCATTGAACATGACAATTAGATAAATATTGAAGCCCAAATTTCCAACTCCTAATGGCATGCCATAATAAACCATTCCAATGCCAAAACCAAGTACCATAACTGTTAGTGTTCTCTTCATAGCCCATCTTTTGGCAAACAAGTCCTTCATTGACTTGTATGGGTGATTGTTAGTCTTTGAAGTTTCCTCCACCCCCTCAGATGGCATGCCTGTTGAGACCAACAACAATTTCAACTCACTTGGGTAGTTTGGTGCTGAAGATTTTTCCAGTATTGCTATAGCTTCTTCCACAAAACCATGCATATAAAGCCATCTTGGAGACTCAGTTACAAAGAATTGAAGCAATATGCAGTAAAGAATTGCAGGAATTGAAGTGCACAAATACAGAGCTCTCCATGAGTTATCTCTGTTAACATAAGCAATCAATGGCAATGACAAAAACCCCAGAGTGAAAAAAAAGAACTGCATAATTCCTAATCTAGGCCTCCATTTTCTTCCAACTTTTTCCATCAACAACACAAGAACACATGTACTGATTGACGAGCGGCCGAACCCGCTAACAAATCTCACTGCAGAGTAAACCCAAATGTTTGGGGAGAAGATGGTAAGAAAAGAAGCTAAAGACATTGTGATGCTTGAGATCAAGAGCAGCTTCTTGCGGCCAAGTGAAGAGTCAGCTAGAGTGCCTAGAAGGAACCCACCAACCACACCACCCAAGAAATAAGATGAGGCAGGGATGCCTCTGATGAAAGAGCTTGAACATTGCAGGTCCCAATCAGATATGATTGTATGGGAGGAAATTGCATCCCAGGACCAATCAGAGCTGGGAAGATCACAGATGCTGGAGCTTGTGGTGCATGATGATGATGATGATGATGTGGTGGCAGTGGAGCAGTGCCATGAAGGCACAGCATCTGTATAGACACTGATGAATGTTTGTTGGCCATCAAAAAGTGAAGCCAAAGAGACAAGGATGGCTTGCAAGAACTGCTTCCACCCAAAACTTGATTGACTCTGCTCAATTATTTGATCCAAGGAGTCAAGGAGATTGTTTCTTAGAGTTTCTTGGTCTTCCATGTTTGATGGAGGCACAGAAGAGGGGTTGAATCAACCATGGGATATATAAATTGTAGTTGTTAGCTAACATATAAGAATATTTCTGTGTAGTAGATTTGACAGCTGGGTGGAGGCAAAACATCTACTTGTCTTTTTCCATATAGTCATTTGTTTTCATAGACATAAGGGGTGCACTATATAAAATATCTAAGCTTGTTAGCGATTTCTACTTACCTGCAAATTAGTTTGTGTATTTTATCATGCTATCATTTGCAAGAACGAAATGAGCCAAACACTAACCGTGAACTTTCACTTTCAATATATAAGTTTCTTATCTCGTCCCTTGACATAAATTAAAAAACAAAAAACAAACATTGGTTGTCGGTTCACATGACAGAGATACAATTTAAGGATTAGTCAAAGAAAGAGGCCCGAGGGGTTTGTGTCACAAGGGATGTGGATGGCAAAGTGCCTTAACATTTACAAGTTGTGAGGGCAGTGTTCAAGTCTTTCTGTGTCCCTTGGGTTAACAAAAAGGCAAAGAAAAGATTATGTAACAACAAAATGAGGGAAAGACGTATTTGTCCTTGATGGGCCACTTTTCCGAAAATTCTAACCATGGCCTCCATTTGTAGAGAAGAACTTACATGGGATATCACACCATATCGAGAAGTTAAAAACACATAGAAAGAGGTGATTGAGTCGGAATAGCGCCGTAGTGGCACCCCGGACCAACCCAAGGAAACGGTGAATTCCTTACAGCACCCATTGATGTACTCAGTGCACCCACTAACAATCCCAACTTTATCTCAGTGCATTCAAAATTCCATAAATCCCAACTTTACAGAGAACTGGAAGAAGATTGAGTCCAAAAAAATAAGAGAGCTGGATGATTATTTTAGGGTCATTAATTGCAGAAGAGAAAGTTACTTCAAATAATCAAAAGCTTAAATTTGAGGGAATTACCTTGTGATTATAAAAATTACCTCCAGGCCAACATGCTTATTGAGTCTGCGAGCCTGAGTTAAAGTATTGGATAACTCATGTTTCAGGAAATGACTCATCCAGTTATTTTGTTTCTCAAGAACCGATTCATCTGGATGTATGATGATTTCTGAAGCCTTAAACAATTCTAAGGCAGCACCAATGTATACCCCCCCAAGGGAATTGAAGAAAAGATCTTCTGAAAATTGACTTAATGGATCTGCAAGACATCATAAATCAATTGAACATTTCTTGCCAAAACAAAGTCTTGCACACCAAGGCACCTGAACTGACAAATACCTGCAGAAATATCATATCCATGAACACGTAAGAGTCGAAATGCCATTGCACAGGTGGTAGCATCTGAAAATATATCTTCCTCCCCCTACTGCCAGCATCTGTTTATTGGATAATGTCATGCTTCCCCATGGAAGAGAGCTACAATCTATTTAAACTTAATGTTTCACAAAAGCTAAAGCCAAGCACACCATTTACTGGTGCATACATACATGTATAGGAAACATTACCTGTATGTTTCATCCAGCACACTTCTTGTTTCATTTCTGAAATGTCGATCAATACCCAAACTTTCAAGACTGGCAACCATAGAAAGATGAGCATAGTTATCTAGTGGATAAACCGTTGGAACTGAAAAGGGTAATCGAAAATAATCGATTAAACTTCAACCTAATATAATAAACAAGCCTAGAAAATTAATGGTAAGTACTGAGTGAAGAACCTGCATTGCCACACTTCTCTAAGAGTGCACCGTGCACGTAGGTACTTAAGACAATCAGCATTCTTAAGTTGAGTAAAAGCAGCAGCCGTGGTCGATGGCGAATTAAACAAGGACCCGTTCTTCTTTTGGTACTTCATGACCAACTCCCAATCCTGTGAGCCAAGTCCTTCTGAAATATATGCTAAGAAGGTTCTCCACCCCTCTGAGTTGCTTCCATAGCCTCTAAAATATTTCGAACAGAGATTTTTCACTTAACAATTTCAGTGCATTCCATTTGTTGTAACGAGCATATGAACTAGACTCTACTGTTGTATCTATCTGTTCCTCTAAAGAAAACAAGACATACCTTTTAAGCTCGAAGTCTCTTCTGTGAAATAAAGAATCTAGGGTTGGTGCTCCTAGGGGAAGATACATATCGAATTTCATTGCAGATTCAATCATGGCAGGAAATATTATATTAAATCCAACAGGAGATTGTTGCTCTTCATCGGTAGCGGAAGCTAAATTTGATTCAAAAAATGTAGCCCTAAAAGAACAAGAGAGGCCTTCATTAGTACAAGGAAACTTAGCATGAAGCAAGAGCAACAGATAAACCCTTCTTAATTTGTTCTTCGCCAACACTCCAACGCTTTAGTGCAAGGATACATGCTAAGGTAGATAAGAGAGCATCTTTGATTAACAAGGGATGAAACTTAGGACCCCATGAGCCATCATGGAGTTTATTTGCCAATAACCAATTTACACATTCAGGGAAAAAAGGGTCCTTCGAAGAATTTGGAGAAGGGACCATTGCCACCCAACCCAAGCAGTGTCATATGATGAAACAGAGAGATCAACCTTGTTGAACATCTTCTTTATTCTTTCTTTAGTCCCCTCAAAATTCTGATTAAACTATAATAAAAAAAACACTTTTTGACATTGTTAACAATAGAAAGATTCAAAGAAGAGAAACCGGCCAGCCACGGCATCACAAAGCTTAAACCGGTTGGTCGAAAAACTCTCTTCTTCTACGCTGTCTCTAAATTTGAGTCCATATCCGCAGATGAATTGCAGCTCTCAGAATTTGTCATATGGGAACTATAAGCTTTGCTTTCTTCTGTTCTTCTGTGGAAAAGGAATGGACTTGCCTCCCAAAGTGTGGCCCTTGCGGATTTCCTTCAACCCAAAATAAAAAATTTCAAGATTTCCACATTCAGCCCAAAGTGTGGCCATGAATTGCGGCTCTTTGATTCTTTTCCGGTATGTCACAGTCTTGTTCTAGTAATTAATTTATTCTTGTGTAAACTTAGCACTGTGATTTCATTTAAATTATCAATTTGTAGCAGCATAGTCTGCAATGTGCTAATCTTCCCTTGATGATGGAATGAGTAAGGCATGGATTGGTGAGAAAATTGTTAGTCACAGAATTTTTGGTTTTTGGTTTTGAAAATGGCAGTGATAGAAAATTGGGTGTATGGATTGTTGTCAATAAAACATTGCTTCTAGGAGAAGTTCAAAGAAAAAATAAAGTAAACAAGAAGATGACAGGGAAAACACAATGTAGGTGTATTTGGACCATTTAATGTCATATCATTACCTAGGAACTAGGAACTATACTGGCTTGGCTTCAATTGGTTTAAGCTGGGCTAATGCTATCTTAAACAAAACAATTAGTCATTCATCCGTATCAACGTAAACAGAATTTTTTTTTTTTTTTTTTTTTGTGTGGAGTGTGCTGATTATATGTGCTTAATTAAGGTGATCAATACCCTACAAAACAAAGCAATTCACTAGCAGTGCTGCAGTATAATCTCATACACTAATATTGATCTGCTCTTCATTTTCCTTGCGCTCTTGCTCATCCATGCTGTCACAGAGAGCCACGCCTTTTGTTTCCGGCTACGCAAACACAAACACCCCACAACAAATAATCACAACCCCTAAAACTCCATACGACAAAAACTCACTGTAATTCCTCCCAGCTGAAATCAACACTGGCCTAAAAATGGCCCCCAAGCACCAGCCCTTGCCTCACCATGGACGTGGTTGAGTTCCTCACACACGTCAGAAATAGCTCCAATGTGTAAATCATTAAGATGGAAAACACTGTGTTGGCACTGAAAAACGACCCTATTTGCAAGGCCTTCTATTTGGAGCTAACCACCACACACCTTATACTGCAAACCCCACTTATCATTATAAATGTTAGCAATGAGCTCTTTCTGTTCCATTGTCCTATGAAAAATAAAGTGAGAGCGAAGGAGGGTATCTCAGACATTGCATTGAATGTCAGACTAAGGTACATACTGAATCCAAAGTTCCCGACCCCCAAAACGCATGTCGTAGTAAACCATTCCAACCCCAAAACCAACTGCCATCAGCGCAAGTGTTCGATGAAATGCCCATTTTTTCTCAAACAAGTTCTTCAATGATGAGAATAGATCCACTTCAGCCGATTCCTCCAAGAGCGCCAGGATGCAAGATAAGTACAGGTTCAAGCTGTCAATAAATTAGAAATGAATCTAAAACCACACATTCAGAAAAGAATCAAACTTACGTTGTGAGACTGAATTTGTGCACATTGGACTCGCAACATTTGGGCTAGAAAGAAAATTTTGTGCACATTGGAACACTCAAATTTGTGCACAGAATCTGTATAGACACTCTGATGAATGTTTGTTGGCCATCAAAGAGTGAGGCCAAAGAGACAAGGATGGCTTGCAAGAACTGCTTCCACACAAAACTTGATTCACTCTGCTAAATTATTTGATCCAAGGAGTGAAGAAGATTGTTTCTTAGAGTTTCTTGGTCTTCCATGTTTGATGGAGGCAGAAGAGGAGTTGGATCAGCCACATGGGATATTTAAATCATAGTTGCTAGCTAACATATAAGAATAGTTCCAGATAGTCCCTTTTTTTTTTTGTGGTGAAAATAGCCATTTGTTTTCAAAGACATAAGATGTGCACTTTCAGCCCAAAAAAAAGGGGTGTGCACTTTATAAAATATCTAAGCTTATTAGCGATATGTACTTACCTGCAAATTAAGATTATAGTTTGCATATTATGTCAAACTGTGATTTGCGAGAATGAAATAAGCCAATCACTAACTGCCCACTTTCACTTTCAATATTTAAGTTTCTTATCTTGTCCCTTGTGATAAAATAAAATAAACATTGGTTGTCAGTCCACATCACAGAGTAATACAATTTAATCCCTTTCAGTACTGGTGATTAGCCCCCATTGTACCCACCAACAAAAAAAAAAAAACAGTACTGGTGATGACTAAGGTATATATGGTTTGGTGATAAAATTAATAACCAAGACCAAGTTCATATGATTAGCTGGGGAGCCGAAAGATAACTTGTCCACCACATCAACAACCTCTATTTTCTCTCTCTCTCTCTCTTCCATTATTGGGCTTCCTAAAACCTCTTCTCCACTAATCCCATACTTTGTTCTTATTGTTTTCAATCTAGGTGGGATGGAAATCAGATAATTGAAGAAAGAAAAAAAGCAAAGGACCGGTCCTGGAAGGTTTCTTTTTTCTTTTCCTCTGTAAATTTCCTTCGATTTCTCAGTAACCAAACAGAGGTATTAGTCTTCTCTGTCTCAAAGTAATCTTGACAGGCCGTTGAGTTTCAAGGATGAGGTTGCACAACAGCTATGTCTATGAAGAGCCCATAAAGGTAGTGATCACTCTAAACTTGATCATAAGTTCATAACCATAGGTAGACAAGCTAGCCAAAAAAAATTATTGCATATTTCTTGATTGGTAGCTTTAATTTTGAATTGAATTTATAATTAGCTAGTTTCTTCTTTAGGGTACTTCAGAATCAGCAGAGTGGATATTTTTAGCCACTAGCCTTGGCCTAGAGATGTTGTCGGCTGCTTTTGATCAGGCTTCCTCCCCAACAAAACCCCACTATGCACTATTTGGTGTGCTGTTGGCTACTGCGGCTTTACTTATTTCCATCTGGGAGCTAATTTATAATGGTAGAAAGGAAAGAGTTGTGCTAAGGAGATGGGGAAGGCTCTGGTGGTTTTATTATCCACCTCCTCGGAACGCACTTTTCGGTACTCTTCCTGACATTTATGGACTAGTTGGCGGCATCTCGCAGTGCATTTGCTCTGTAGTTCAGTACATGTACTACCTTCGGCATGCCGATAATCCTATCAAAGTATCCATTTTGCCTGCCATATTTCTTGTGTGCTTAGGTGGTTCAAAACTAAATAGGAATCAGCGGAACATGAACACCATCGAACATAAGATGTTTAGGAAAAGGCAACTCTTGCACAGTGAGTCTATCTAAATATGTGGTGAGCAAATCCAACCAGGAAACTAGAGTTTCTTTTAGACAGGGGAAGCAAATATTGCATCGATGCATTTTGAGATAAAATCTCACACCTGGACAAGTTCATGTGTGTTATGAACAAATGAAATACTGAAAATTAAAATTAGACCCTGTGAATGACAAGTTTTTAGCTAGGTAAATTCATGCGAATTATCTTTGATATCATGCAGAGTGAAGGAGGTTGTTCCTCATGAGTGTCTGGATCTTCCACATTGGATGGAGGCACAACCGGGGTTGGATCATCAGCCATGGTATTCTTACTTTAAAATGTTTACAACTCAAATATGTACTTGTCTTTTCCAGATAGTCACTAGCAAAGGTGCCCGCGCGCAATGCCGCTGGTATTAAAACCGTATAATATATGTATAGAGTTGAAAAAACAGATAGGAAGCACAATATTATTTACATGTGAACGTTTAAGTTACAAAAGATAGATTAGTAACATGTGCGAAGTAGTGTTTAAAAAACTATTACTGCTGTTGCAATAGATGGATAAATAACATGTTTTGTACACTAAGTTATACGCTGATTGGTGGCAGAACTTCTCTCTTCACTGGTTCTTGGGTTTTCATCTGTTTTGATGAGCTAATAAACGTTTTTTTTTTTTTTTTTTGCAATCGAATTGTAGTTGAAGACAACCATGAGAAAAAGAAACTGTCCCCAAATTCAACTCAATGAACTATCACTTAATATAGAGAAATTGAGTGGGGAAATAAGCTATGAACAATGAAAAACTACTTGAGTATTGCCTTATTTAAACAAAAAAGGAAACAAAAGTTTACACTCTGCAGCCACCAAAAGAGTATATATCCTAAACCCTTTCAGTAATTCCTTATATGTACCAGATTTCAACTGTCTTTACCAAATGCACAAATGGGTAGCCCCAAATCCCAGTTGTCAACTCTCAAGAAGGCAAACAATGCAAAACAAAATAAAACAGCATCTGGGTAAGACATATATACCAAAATTCCAAGTCAGATCAAATTTGTAAAATAATGTTTTTAGGGTCTTTGATTTTCAGTGGAGGAAAAATGATAATTGTATGCTATCATGATGTAAAGCGTTTAACAACAGAAGTTTAAATTGTTGTTTAACATTTTAGTAGAAACATAAACACTAGTTCAACAGAATAGAATGAATGGGCATGATGGGGCATTTCCAAATGGGTTTTTTCCTACAATTTGCTTCTACCTGTTGATTTGAACGATTTCTTGAAGGATCCAAGCCAATGTGGGCATTTGTGTTATAAACAAAGGAAATACGTACTGAGAATTAAATTGCGGTCCGTGCAGGACAAGTTTTTAGCTAGGTAAGTTTTTCCCTCTTGTAGATCCATGCTAATTATCTTTCATATATGCAGGCTTATAAATGTCATCAAGAAGGAAGGCTCTTGGACTTGGTTGACAGAAGTTTGTATACTTACCATACAAAACAGAAGCCTTCACCATCTTAAATTTAGCAGTGAAGTGCACCAGTATATCCCCTACTCTAAGACCTACAATGTCTGAAACAAATGTCTCAGATCCATGTCTCATAACTACGTATCTATGTTACCGACAACATCCGTACACCATAATTGTCTCACTCTGGAAAATGTTGCCTCATAACCGATCTAGGGGTAGATACATAGTTATGAGACATCGATCTGATACATTTGTTTCAGTCATATCCCCATAATTAGCAGTAGTCTTTCTCAATTTGTTGCCATTACTAGTAACCCTTAACATTCTAAGCGTGCTTTATTTTGTACATTTTTTCTCATGTTCTGTGTTTTTTTTACCTTTCAACCTTGATAAACCCTTTCTTAAGGCAAAATGTTGTACCAAAACTGTGAAATTTGTACCGGGAGGCCACAGATAAATGTTTACCGTCCATCAAAGGCTTTCAAAGAGACAAGGATGGCTTGGCAGAAGTGCTTCCACCCAAAACTAGTTTCATGCTCAATTATTTCATCTGATTGAAGGGCGTTGTTTCTCAGAGTTTCTGTATCTCCATATTGGAGGCACAAGCGGGTTTGGATCAGCCATGGATATATACTGCTAGCACATATATTTAAAATTTCCGGCTTGCATATTAAAATGTTTAGAATTCGAAGATCTACTTGTTTTTCCAAGATAGTCTTTGATTCTTCCTTGACACAAACTATGGACTTTTTGTTAAACTGAGTTATCTGTTGGCCTGTCCTGTTTGTTAGTACATTGTTACTTTGAATGACTATGCTGGATTGGCTTCAATTGGTCTAAGCTGGACTAATACTATTATTCTAAACAATTTATATCTGTCGTCCACTGAGCACAAAAGAGTGAACATGGAGAAACATATTGTAATAAAGAGATACTCATCAACTTTAATTCAGCACAACGCTTAACTGGTGATCAATAGCCTAAAAAACAGAGCAATTCTCTAGGAGTTTAATGTTAAACACTAGTATTGATCTGGTCTGCAACCTCCTTGCGCTCTTGCTCATCCATGGTGTCACAGAGAGCCACGCCTTTTGTTTCCGGCAACGAAAACACAAACACCCCACAACAAATAATCACAACCCCAAAAACTCCATATGAAAAAAACTCATTGTAATTTCTCCCAGCTGAAATCAACACCGGACTAAAAATGGCCCCAATCACTAGCCCTTGCCTCACCATGGACGTGGCTGAGTTCCTCACACACGTCGGAAATAGCTCCAATGTGTAAATCATTAAGATGGAAAAAGCTGTGTTGGCGCTGAAAAATGACACTATTTCCAACCCTATCTGCAACCATTTGGAGCTAACTACCACACACATTATGCTACAAACCCCACTTATCATCATAAATGTCAGCAATGAGCTCTTTCTGTACCATTTTCCTATGAAAAATAAAGTGAGAGCGAAGGAAGGTATCTCAGACATTGCATTCAATGTCAGACTAAGGTAGATATTGAATCCCAAGTTCCCAACCCCCAATGGCATGCCGTAGTAAACCATTCCAACCCCAAAACCAACTGACATCAAGGCAAGTGTTCGACGAAATGCCCACTTTTTCTCAAACAAGTTCTTCAGCGACGAGAATAGATCTACTTCAGCCGATTCCTCCAAGAGTGGGATGCTGGATAAGTACAGGTTCAAGCTGTGAAAAAAATTAGAATGCACATATGTAGTCATGAATCTAAACAGCACATTCAGAAAATAATCAAACTTACGTTGTGAGACTGCAAATCTGTGAACATCGACATAACCTTAAAGTTAGAAAGAAAAAATATATATTTATTGTATAAGTATCTTATGTTGCCAAACCTGCTATGATTCCAATGTCCAAGTCTTCCTAGTGTAGCCACGGCCTCATCTTTACGACCCCGAGTGAACAGCCATTTGGGAGACTCACTCACAAACAAAAAGACTAACACACAATACAAGATGCCAGGAACTGAAGTCCACATATATAATGTTCTCCATGATGAGTATCTATTAACGTAAGCTATACCTGGTAGTGACAAGAACCCAAATGTGAAGCAAAAGAACCCGGCAATGCCAATTCGACCACGCCATTTTCTGCTCACGATTTCGGTGGACAGAACCAGTGCACAGGCACCGATAGAAGCACGCCCGAATCCACTGATAAATCTCAACGTGGCATATACAAAAACGTTTGTTGAAAACGCGGTTATGAGTGAAGCCACGCACATGGTGAAGCACGAGAGGAAGAGCAAGTTCCTTCGGCCAAGTGATGAGTCAGCGAGTGTTGCCAAAATGAACCCCCCCAGTAAGCAACCAAAGAAGAAAGCTGAGGCCGGCAGGCCTGAGATTAGGGACGAGGCACATTGAAGGTTGAAGTCTGAGATGATGGTGGTGGAAGATGGTCTGTCCCAAGCCCATGCGGAGGTGGAGAGGTCGCAAATGTTGGAGGTTGAACGACATGTCGTGTTGGGATGTTCGGTGCAGTGCCATGTTGGTTCCGCGTCTGTGTAGACGGTTATGAAGGTTTGTTGGCCGTCAAAGAACCATGACAAGGAGACCAGGATAGCTTGGAGCAACTGTGGCCAGGCCGAGTTGGTTGTGACTCGTTCGATGACTGAGTCGAGCGATATTGGGGGAGTGGAGATGGGGTCGGAGGAGGTTGAGTGAGGCAAGAGTGGAGTTGGATCTGCCATGTAAAATATATTCTGCTTGTGCTAGTATGCTAAGCTAGAATATGATCAAGTAAGGTATACACTTATATAAACGGCTTAATGTACAGTTTACTTGTGTTGACATGTTGTGAATCTCGACTACAAATTTACACAAAACACATCGTCAAAAATAGTAAATTTTCGATTACATCGAAGGAAAAGAGACTAATGTATGTCCCACTTATCTTCAACAAAAACTGTTGAGTTAGCAGTTTGCTTAAAATTTCCCAAAGCCACTCTTATGCATTTGTATCTATCTATCAGTGTGTAGTGAATGATATTCTATTTGTGAAAGTGGAATGTATCCGTAATGGTTAATTTTGTAAAAGCAATCGACAATATGCCACTGCCAGCATGGGGTTTGCCAAATCCAGGCTTTCAGTTTGAGCCATCACATGTGCTACGTAGCCCTCCATATCTATTCATATCTTTGACTGGACATGGATTAAATTGTCATCAAGTACTTAAATGCAGCTCATGCGGGATTTGTATATTTCTTATTCTACTCATCCACCACAAGAGTATAAACCCATATGCTTTTGAGTGATTAATGAATCGATCAGTGATCTCAACTGATGGATGCACAAGAATTTGAAAAATTAATTTGAGAAAACATAGATTTTCAATGTAATCTAGCAATCAATGTAGTCATGACCACGGTACACATTCATCATTCTGGAATTTGGTCCGAGATAAGATTTGTGATCAGGGACAATGGTCACAAAACTAATTGTCACTAAACTCTTTTATTTTGACCCAGGACCTAAATCACATGTGGGATATTCTATAATAAAAAAAACAAAATCACATGTGGGATGACTGTATATTAAGTCAGAGAAGAGAGACACTTAGTCCTTAATTAATATTTTAGTTCAAATTGACTATTTTACCCCTCAATTAAATTGCAGAATTGACAAACTTTGATGGTATGACCAATTTGACACCAAATAGAGAGTTGTATGACCATTAAAATGAAAAAATTAGTTGAATGACCAAAATGTAAAACTCAGACATAAATTTAGGCTCGTTTCAATCAAAACCCCTAATATGGAGTTGCTTAAAAATATACACCCTGAGATTTTTGGGTGTTTTTTGAAAAGGCCTTTCAATTTTTTCACATGACTATCTAAAGTTTTACGATGATATCAATTTCATCCTTTTGATTGTGTTCATGTGTTAACTGCATACATGACAAGTGCGAAGCCCACTTTTCATAGACAATGAGCCCACACCCTAGTACCTCGTTAAGGGCATTTTCGGAAGAATCTTTTCTCCTCCAAATCAAATGAATTAATTAATGTTGGTACATATGCAGAATTAATTTAATTTATTTGTCCTTGATAATTTTATAAATAGGTCAAATGTAATTATTTTGTTAGTTTATGGTCTTAGGATAAATCTATGCTTGGAGTTCATTCTAAACAAATTTAAGTTGAGTTTTTGTTTGTTCTACCCCTAAAAATTCATCCGCAGTGGCCTGGTGTTGGCCATGAGATTGTTTTCGTGTTATGGCACGCAGCGAAAGCTCCAATAGAAAGTGATTGAAAAATGTAAAATGCACTCCAATATCGATTCTAATCAATCGATTGTGAATAGATGTCACATCTCGGGATCGGCTCCGCCGTAGCACGATATTATCGACTTTGGACCCCTCTCTCTGCCCTCACAATTTTGTTTCTTGGAACTCACGAGCAACTTCCCAGTGGATCACCCATCCTGGGATTGCTCTAGCCTCAACTCGCTTAACTTCGGAGTTCCTATGACTCCAAAGTCAGTGAGCTCCCAAAAGGCCTCGTGCTAGATGGAAGCGGGCATGTACATATAAGGCATATCACCCTCTCTCCATTGGTCGATGTGGGATGTTACAATCCACCTCCCTTAAGGGCCCGACGTCCTTGTCGGCACACTCGCACCACACGACAGAGTGGTTCTGATACCAAATTGTCACATCCCGGGATCGGCTCCGCCTTAGCACGATATTATTCGCTTTGGGCCCCCCTCTCTGCCCTCACGGTTTTGTTTCTGGGAACTCACGAGCAACTTCCTAGTGGGTCACCCATCATGGGATTGCTCTAGCCCCAACTCGCTTAAATTCGGAGTTCCCATGACTCTGAAGCCAGTGAACTCCCAAAAGGCCTCGTACTAGATGGAGGCGGGCATGTACATATAAGACACGTCACTCTCTCTCCGTTGATCGATGTGGGATGTTACAATTGGGTGAGGAACTGGCCCAATATAGGTTCTTTTTTATACCTCAATGAAGAAGACTTCAATATTTTTCTAGTGCGAAGATAAGAACAAGCATAAAATAAAAATAACATAAATGAAAATGAGAAACAATGAGATGGAAACGAAGATTTCTCGATTTAGTTCAATATCGATGCAAACTCAAAGTAAATGACATATAGCTACCCTAAATTGAGGATTTCTCTACTTAGTTCATTGTAGCTATAGACTTAAAAAGTACATGACATTATTGAAAATGATGAATGTTCATATGAAAATTTCTCTATTCATAAACATTTGAATAAAAGTAAACAACATAGTCTGAAGATTTCTCTATTCAAACTTGATACAGAAAAAGTAAAGGATTTGGCCTAGCTACTGGGAATCATACCAAGTGTTGGCAGAGCATAAAAGTAAAAAGATAACGATCAAGAGTTGTAAACTAGTTATCTTGAAAGAAAGACAAGTTGTTTATGTTAAATTCAGATAGACGAGTCAGTGGCCCACTGCTAACAACACATATTGGGTAAGGGTAAAGACCCAATTCAAGCTCAGTCAATCAACCTACTCTGATACCATGTTAAATTCAGAAAGACGAGCTAGCAGCCCACTACTAATAACACCAATATTGTCCCCAACTTAACCACCTACAAAGCCCAGTAGGTGTGAGGTTTTATCACAAAAGGCCTCAGTGATATTAGTAATATAATCATTCATTATATTTTGTATTTTATTTTGTCAAGTTTCCGATGTGAGACTCATATTCTTCAACAGTTTCAAGCTTAAGGTTTTCAAGTGTTG